CACTAGGCTTGCTCGGGCCTTAGCCCAGAACATGTACATCATGGCAAGGCCCGTGCTGCAACTGTATGGACCCCACTTCGTGAAATGTTGCACAGTGGGCTCTTGTCGATTTGCTGGCCCACCTTCACCTAGGGCAGGCACTAGGCTTGCTGGGGCCTTAGCCCAGAACATGTACATCATGGCAAGGCCCCTACTTGAGGGCTCAATCCTCACACTAATCAGCTACCTAGTCCCCGCACACCTGTCAGATCAGGTTGTCCTGATTCACGTGAGGTGTTCCGATACCAACTGTTACATGCCCAGTTGGGCGATGTACATAATAACCGAGGATCGGCAATGTGATAAAAAGGACTGAATGGACAATGCAGTGCAAGTGAAATCTCAACAAGCAGTGTACCTTCTGACACATACAAAAGTGGTGCTTTATAGCGCAGGGAAGACTTAGATACAAGTCCTGACCTGACCGAGACTGACCTCTATCACGTAGTGCAAGATAGAGTAGAAGAATGCTAGAATATCAATAACTAGCCCAATCAATGTTGTAACGCAGACTAAACATACACCATTCTCATCACAAGGTGTGAAGAGACCTGGCGCTATACACAGGAAGAAGGTGCCAGGCCCTGATCATGCTTTGATGAAGAGGAGGGGAACAGACGCAGAAGAGGGAGAGAGATGGGAATGTCGTCAACACCAAGTCTTTGTCACAAGTCCCAAATAATCCCTCATCAAAATGTCTGAAGCCCAAATGTCGAGTCTGGATTCAAATGCCACCAAGCTCTCTCCTTCTCTCGTAGTCTGCTGATGCAATGAAGTCCGGTAGCGAGAGGGTGAGAGGGAGATGGTGGACTGAGAAGAGGAAGAAGAGAAACTCTCTCTCTCTCATATGCCATGTACTAACCTGTGAAGATGGCGCTGTGCTGCAGGTATCTCGAAGGTGAAGCTGGAGCTATGGCGCTGCAGGTAAGTATCCCTGGCCTCCGCCCAATCTCTCCCTCTCTAGTACTACTCAGCTGCTATGGTGCCCAGCGCTGAAGACTACTGCTAACGCTACTAGCGCCCAGCGCTGAGACTACTGCTAGCGCTACAACTACTCCTGCAGCGCTCCTCCAGAGTGCTGCTGCCGAATCCTGAAGACTACCTCCTGCCTCCTGAACTGTAAATGAAGTGCCTGGGAAGTACCTAGGAACTACCTACCGGCCTGAAGGGCGGGCCAGTCCTATATAGTGTTGGCCCGTCCAGGAGGCTRCTCTTGCCAATGCCGAAACKTGCCAGACCCTGGCGTTGAAGCTCAACCAGGGGTTGTCTTGAAAACAGGCCTGAAATGGCCTGTGCTAAAACCYTGKTTTKTTGCCTGAGTTTCARGGAGGGTCGGACTGATGAGGGCCTGAAAATGGCCCTCAGTTTCAGGCTGAAAATACTCAGGGCCGGAAAGGCCCTGATTTAGCCTGAAACGACACAGAGCCTGTAGGCCCTTGTTTTCAGGCTTTCAGGCTGAAACGACACAGGGCCTGTAGGCCCTTGTTTTCAGGCTTTTGGCCTGAAAACGTCACGGCCCCGAAAGGGGGCCCGTGCAGCCTGTTGCAGGCGCAGCATGTAACACCCCCCCTTCTTGTGAAGTCAACCCAGGCCGAAGGCGAAGCTGACGATCTGAAGGTGGAACGTGGAAGTGGGTGTCACGTGAAGCCAAAGATACCGGCTTGCCTTGCATCTTGCGTTCGTAGCGTGCGAGAACATCTGGAGCTGTTGCTTGGAGTTCCACACGGGTCAACCAACGGTCAGCTCTGTAACTGCAGTACGCAAAGTGTACCAAGTACTCAGTTGGCCTGTTGCCGTAGCGCTGCTGGGAGATGATGTCGCCGACCTCTTGAAAACCGTCCATATTGGGTGGGTCTTGTGATCGTCGCCCGGGGAAAATCGTCATGTTCTGCTGCGTGTAAAGAGCCAGATTTGAGGAAAGAAAGACTGGGTAGACGGGCAAGTGGGCGGGCACCTGAATAGTGAAGGAAGGTCCCTCGGGTGCATTCCCAGCGGGTGCCATGATCGGCCAGGGTGCCATCCATTTCGGGAGGAGCTTGCGAGAGAGATCTTGTTCAAGGCTGAATTTCGCGGCGGAAACCCAAACGAGATCGCCGACTCCGAATGGGCAAGGAAGATGCTGGCAATTGGCCTGTTGGCTCATGCGTTGCTGCATCCTGGACATCTGGTCGTGTGCCCTGACAAGTAGCTCTTGCATCCGACGCAAGAAAACAAGATGGTCGTCGCTCTCGGCCGTTCATGGAATGATTGTGTCCAACGGCGAAGTGACCGGCGAGCCGTGCTCGAACTCGAAGGGTGACATCCTGATAGTCGGGTGGATGGACGAGTTGTATGCCAACTCGACATCTGGCAGCCGCTCAACCCAATCCTTTTGGTCGGGACGGATGAGAGTGCGAAGGAGAACCTGTGCGGTCTGATGCGCCCTCTCCGTTTGGCMATCGGTTTGGGGGTGGCGRGCCGAACTTGGCTTGAGAGATGAGCCCCAACGTTTGATGAGCGCCAACCAAAAATCAAATATGAACCGAGTGTCGCGGTCACAGACGATTTCCTTGGGGTAACCCTTGGTTCGAATCCAACCGACGTAAAGAACGTCGGCCAACAACGGTGCCTTGGCATGATAGCAGCAAGGCAAAAACATGGCAAACTTGGTGAGTCGGCCGACCACCGTGAGAATCCCATCCACACCGGTCTTGTGCTTGGGGAACGGCCCGGTAATGTCCATGGCAATCGCTTCCCTTCAGCGCAAGGGGACCGGTAACGGTCGCAACTCGCCGTACGGACGATGGTTGCGAGATTTGCAGCATGACTCGCAATAGCGTGTGACGTCGTCGAGAAGGCCGGGCCACCAAAATCGCTCGCGAAGTCGGCCAATCGTGCGATTGACTCCAAAGTGTGCGGTGGCGGGAGCATCTTGGAACTCGCCAAGAAGCCGTGTACGCAAGTGAGAGTCATTTGGTACGCAAAGAAGGTCCTTCCCCCCCGTGTGGACAAACAAGTACGCCTCTTGGATCCGGTAGTGAGAAGCGCCGGATTAGGAGAGGATCAATTCGCGTACTTGTCGCAAAACTCCRGGTCGGCTTGRTAGCCGCGGATGAAGCTGTCCCGCAGGTCGTYGCCRATCTCGAAGGTCGAGTAGACTGCGGTACAATGATCCRSACATCGTGAAAGAGCATCCGCAAAACGGTTTGACTTCCCCGGAATATGATCGAGAAAGAAGTCAAATTGGTCGATGAAAGCCATCCATTGGGCGATGGTGCTATTGACGGTGTCTTGGGTCTTGTAGAAGACCAACGGATTGTTGTCCSYTACCCATCGGAATTGGCTTCGACCAAGGAGGAAGTGCCGCCACCGCTTGAGAGCGTGGACGAAGGCGAGGAGCTCCTTGCGCGCATCATCAATGGAGTGCACGACGGGCACATTCTTGCTGAAGTAGTCGACCGGGTGCCAGTCCACGCCATCGTGTTGTTCGAGGACGGCACCAATGCCATAGTCGGACGCATCCATAGTGACGCGTGTAGGCAATAGTGGGTCGTAGATGTGCAAGACCTCCGCAAATAATAGCGCGACTTTGAGAGCCAAAAATGATTCCCGCGCATCCTCTCCGAAGTCAAACGGTCGATCCTCACATTGAAACTTGGACAAGTGGGCCGCGATCTTCGAGTTTCCCTTGATAAAACGTTGGTAGTAGCCGGCAAGGCCAAGGAACGAACGRACATCCGTGACGTTCCGCGGCTCCGGCCACTCTTGGATGGCTTGAATCTTGTCCGATAACAGATTGATGCCCTCCGGTGTGACAAAATGGCCCAAGTATTCCARCTCTTGCCGGACAAATTCGCACTTGTCGCGGTTGGTCTTGTACTTGCCGCGGCGGAGCGTCTCCACCACTCGTCGAAGGTGCTCAAGATGATCCTCCAATGACCGGCTAAAGACGAGAATGTCSTCTAAGTAGACCAGCACGAACCGGTCCAACATTGCACGAAACTCGTTGGTCATTGTCGCTTGAAAGGTCGTCGGGGCGTTGGTGAGGCCAATAGGCATGACCACCCACTCAAAATGCCCGTACCGCGTCTTAAACATGAATTTGTAGCGACCTTCAATCGGATCGAAATCTGATGGTATCCCGACTTCAACTCCAACTTAGAGAAGTACTTTGCGCCGCCCAATSGCTCAAGAAGATCGTCGACGCGAGGAAGAGGCCCCGCATTCTTGACGGTTTGCGCGTTGAGCTTGCGGTAGTCGATGCACAATCGTARATCTTTGTTCTTCTTCCGTACGAAAAGAACTGGCGCTCCGTATGGAGAGCGATTAGKGCGGATCCAGCCCTTGTCCAACAAGTCGTCGAGTTGCGCGCGGAGGACCGTAAGCTCCTCCTCGCTCATGCGATAAATGCAACCTTTCGGCGGCACCACACCGACCTCAAGAATGATCTCGTGAGAGATTGGCCGATCCGGCACCACACCGGTAGGTGACTCGAAGATGTCGGCGAACTCGTCAAGTAACCGCACCACATGGGGGTCCGAAGACAAGTCCGTTGGTGAAGAGTCGACTACCGCGACGGTCCGTAGGAAGCATAGGTCCATTTCGTCGGGCTGCTCGTAAGCACAAGTAGCCCAGAATGACCAGGCCGTCACCACTTGGCACCGAATCGAAGGGTGCGGAAGAGGAATAGTACACGGCACTTYGACGCCAAAGGCGTCGCGAATGGTAAGAGTCCKCCRGTGGAAGTTGACCRTGYAATCCGCACTGCCAACTTGACCGTGTAATCCGCACGCCAAAATGTCGAATGTCACCGGTTCGGATGCATGAGGTGCAAAATACACCAGTACGGCCTCGATGTAGYGGTCGATAAGYTGCTGCGTCCTTCYGCCTGCCAACTTGATAGCCGTCGGGTTTGCCTTCCTTCGAACTTTTGCGCCAAGGCCAGCCTTTTGCATAACGGYCTGGCTCATAAAATTGCGAGACGCGCCACTATCCAGCAAAGCGCTGCAAGACGCTTGCCCAACTTGGATGCGGACATAGAGGAGCGGTGCATTGTTGTCGTCRTACCKCTGATTGCGAAACTCKCGGGCCACCTTGGTAACATATGCAAGGGTTGTCCCCCACCGCGACTTCGTCATCCGTCGGTGTAGTTGGTGGTGCATAGAAGGATRAGTACGTSTGAAGATGAGCGCATAATGCTGCGCATTGTGGTCCTGGCAAGCGGCCCGTGGTCGAGAGAGGAAGCCATGCAAAATCCTCGAACGTGAGCGGGCCCAATACCTCTATATTGAACTCGCGCGACGAATCCCATGAAGAATCACTTGAAGACGATAAGTTGTCGTTKCTGGACGGAGAASAYGCCGCACACACGTCTTGTCCTTGAGCATGAGTACCCARCGTAGGAACGAGCCGGGCAGCATAGTCCTCAAAAGAATAAAGAAGAGGACTATCGACTTCCACATGTGCCTCRGAACGAAGGGCGGTCACCCACGAAGTGACCGGTTCCGAAGGCGTCGAGAGTGTCATCGAGTCACTCCCGGCGGTGCTCACTTTCCCGATTTGCCCTTGCCTTTCGACTGGCAGGCCATTGTGTCGTGGAGATCGCTGTTACACCACAGACAACAACGGAATCTTGTGYGTGCCTTGTATGCTTGCTCGGAAAGACCGTAATGGGACCATGGGGCTGGAGCTGCTGCGTCKGGCTYGGGGCTAGATGYGATGTTCGTCTTCGCCTTGCCGTGTCCTTGGCCTTTGTCGGGGCGGCCACCTTCCCGGGCGGGTGCAAGTCCGTCCCCTTCATTGGCAGACACAACCTCGCTAGTTTGGTCGTTYGGTGTTGCCGCCGYGACCAYGGCCACTTTCGGCCGATGCTGATCTCTGCTCTGGCCTGGCGCAGACGAACGYTGGAGATTCTTGRCCTCCTTGTTCGTGACAATAATCTGCGCGGCCTTGTCGAAGAGTTCTGSYGGTGTCGTCAGGGTGTCCTCAACGTGAGTCAAGGCATTGTCCAACGCCGGACGCGACCTCGAGATGAAGTAGTGTTTGATGGCTTTGAAGCCCATTTGGATGTCCGGGACSGATGTSAAGTGTTGGTACTMGGCAATCCAATCAACACTCAGCAGCGTGCCTTGTTCGAAGACCATCAACTTGTCCATTGCCTTGATCTCCGAYGGCTCTACTTGGAACCGCTTATGCCACGCCGCCTCTAGATCATCCCAACTGATCTTGGTATGCAAGTCGGCAGCCACCACTCCGTACTTGGACAACACATTGTCCAACCATGCTTGGCACGCGCCCCGCGACCGGGAGTATAATTACACGTGGTGCTTGTGTTCGCTGACGTGGTGGAGCTGCAACTTGAGCTCGAACTTGCGGAACCATGGAATCGGGTCCGTCTTYGCCGAGTCGCAGAAGATCTTCTGCCCATCGAAATTTGGAGTTGTCTCGCGCGGTTCCGAGCTCGAGTGGTTGGCGGCAGTACAGATCCGCTGCTGCAACTGTTCCGTTGCGGTTTGCTGTAACTGCATGCCGTCCTTGAGGGATCCAACGTCAATCTCCAATGCCTCGAGGCGATCGGAGGTGTTGGAAGAGCTGGCAACGGGGGCAGCAACGKTTTGTTCCARCTSCTGGAGGCGGTTGGTGAGTTKGTCAAACACCTGATTGTGTGTCTGAAGCGCCTCGTCGAGGTTGTGAATGTCCTCCTGCTGCGCAATGCACGTGGCCAGAAGGTCTGTGAGATGGGAGAGGGGTAGAGCGATCTTGTTTCCACTCTCTTCTAGCTTCCCATTCTCGATCTCCGCCCGCCAGTCTGCTGCCATTGTGAGCAAAGCTCGCTCTCCACTGAATATCTTCTCGCGTCGTTGAAGTCGTTCTTCATCAGCAGCCTTTGCTGATGCCTCGTCTTGCTGGCGCTGCTGTTCAATTGCCAACAGACGTGCCTTCTTGGCGTCCTTTGCCTTCTTCTTTGTTGTGGCTGCCACTGCATCCAACCGTTGCTTGGCGTCGATAATCAGAAGCAGCATCTGCGCCTGATAGGCCTCGTCTGTTTCCCCGGACATTTCGTCCATGATGGTTGTTTTCAAGCGCGTAAGCATAGACCAGGCTGGGGCTTGCTGACATGGCTGCTGACGTGTCCTGCTGACGTGGCCTGCTGACGTGGCAACTTACCAATGCCACTGCAGGGGGTACCCGAAGACAGATAGAGAAGATAAGACGAGAGGGGGCAACAACGTAGGTGGGGAGGGGTGGGTGAGGATAAATTGCCCAGGTAAGGAGCCACTAATCAAAAAAGAAAAGTTTGAACTTTGCAAAAACATTTTTTCGAGAAAATAAAAATCCCGAGTTTTGCAAGTTCAGTAGGTCTCCCAACTTCCCTTGAAGTGCGAAATTATCAAGGAGAAAAAAAAATTCAAACCATCCGACTGCCAATGATTATCAGGTAGTGAAAATCATAGAACTGCAAATAAGAAAAATTCCGAAAAGAAATAACAAGTATTYGGACTTACTCAGATGAGAGTATTCGCAGTTTGGAAAATRGTACTGCAAGAGGGATACCCGGATACCCCGYACCGTTTTGGARAAAACGGATTTCAGAARAAAAAAAATRTTACGAACTTCCAAATAACRGGAAATTGCAAAAGGAAATCGAAATTTTCGAAAAAAGATAYTCCAGATTTTCTAACAACGAAATTTYAAATTTTCAGAAGAAAAACGAAAACGGAAATTTCTGATGTTGCGCTATTGCGATTTTCCACAACAGAAATAGCGCGAAAACAAAATCCAAGGAAAGAAAAAAAA